CTTAGCGCAGGCTGCGGGCTTTCTGCAAGTCATCTGAGCCAGCCGAAACGCGCACCCCGTGCTCCCCTGCCCCGCTCTCACGGAGCCCGATTGGATTTATTCGGGGTTTTTCTTGTGGGTTTTTTTTCTTCTCCCCCGTCGTGCTGTATGTATTGTTTTTTCTCATCACCCGCCATGGTTAACTTTCCTGTGACTCGGTTTAACTCTCAAGATCTACATGGATGTTGCTAAGAGCACTTTTCTTGCCTTTGCTGTCCCTTGCTGGGATCGGATTTCACACTGACTGGACTCTGTGTGCCTGTATGTGTGTGCTGAGTGTCTTGAAATTTTGCTTTCCTTTACAAGAGCTATGCATTAATTGTAACCAAGGTAAGACTCGCTGTTCTTGTTCCCTCGTGTGCTTGTCTAAATGAGATGCTTCTTTAAAGATGAAGTATGTATTTTCTTTTAAACGATGGAGTCACATATAGTCCTTCCTTCAATTAGTACTTGTGAAAAAGAAGCATAGAACTTGCAAAAAATTAGACCTATTTTGCAGGAGATCTAGCTTGGCTTTCTAAACCGATCTGCTTTTCTCTGTTGCAGCTTCTGTAATGCTTACAAAAATAATTCGTGTCTTATTTTGTTTTCCCTTTTGACAGACCTGTGAGTGACCATAGGCTTGGCTTGACCTTGATTTGGATGGCTTTGTTGGAAGATCTAATGTTGCGATTGCATTTCGTGAAGTGATTGCTCTCCAGCCTCTATGGCTTAGGCTATGAGCTGCTTCTGCCACACTGTCACTCGTGGACAATTCAGCTCTTTTTTAAGCAAACCTTTTGGATATTTTTGTTTTCTCACTTCCCCTTCCCCCCCCTTTTCTCCTTAACGTTGGGAGCCTTATTCTACACTTTGATGTGATTGATAGTCGTGCTGCTTCGTGCAGCTGATTTCTGGTTTAGAGTACAATGGCTCTAAGTGGCAACTGCAGGACTTACCTTCCCCCTCGAGAGCAGGGGACTGGGCTGCACTCCTTCCCCGAGGTAGTGGAGCTAAACGTGGGTGGCCAGGTTTACTTCACTCGCCACTCCACCTTGGTCGGCACCCCTCACTCCCTGCTGTGGAAAATGTTCACCCCAAAGAGAGACACAGCCAACGACCTGGCCAAGGACTCCAAGGGAAGATTCTTCATCGACAGAGATGGTTTCCTTTTCCGCTATATTCTGGACTATCTCAGGGACAAGCAGGTGGTTCTGCCCGACCACTTCCCAGAGAAGGGAAGGCTCAAGAGGGAGGCTGAGTACTTCCAGCTCCCAGACTTGGTCAAACTCCTGACTCCTGACGACAAGCAAAGCCCTGATGATTATTGCCACAGTGACTACGAAGAGGTCTCCCAAGGCAGTGACACCAGAATATGCCCATCCTCGGCGCTCCTACCGTCTGATCGGAAGTGGGGATTCATTACCATCGGGTACCGAGGGTCATGCACTATTGGCAGAGAGAGCCAAGCAGATGCCAAATTCAGGAGAGTCCCAAGGATTTTGGTTTGTGGAAGGATCGCTCTGGTCAAAGAGGTCTTTGGAGAAAGTTTGAATGAAAGCAGAGATCCAGACAGGGCTCCGGAGAGGTACACCTCCAGGTTTTATCTCAAGTTCAAGCACCTGGAGAGGGCTTTCGACATGTTGTCCGAGTGTGGATTCCACATGGTGGCCTGTAACTCCTCGGTGACGGCTTCCTTTGTCAACCAGTACACAGACGACAAGGTCTGGTCCAGCTACACTGAATACGTCTTCTACCGTAAGTACAAGGCGTTTCTGAGGGAAATGTAACTGCCTGTGTTAAGCTGCTCTTTTCCACTGACTGTACAATTCTCAATGCACGAAGAGCGCAGGTTTCCTTTTGTCTGCCGCGGACTGAGGCTTTATTTAGATCTGGGGGGGATACGCTTCAGTTTAAGCTTTTGAAATGTGAAGCGAGGCTGAACTCACCGGCTTGGTCCAGGCTAGGTGGCAGCACAGACTGCCAAAAGCACCCAGCCCTGGCCTGGAGGGCGCTGCTGGCTCTGGCTCCCTAAACCAGCCATCTGACTGCCTTGCGCGCCTCCCGAGGACGTGCGGGATGCAATATAAGCCTTGCGAACACACTGCAGATTTAATTACAGAAAAATCTTCAAATGGGATTCAATTTACAAAGGTAATAGCTGCTTGATAATAGTCGAGCACAGTCAGCCAAGCCATCTGTCAGCAAACCTGACACACTTACACGCAGGAAGGGAAAACAACATCCCGTCCCCCTGGCTGCTTTTCAACAGGAGGCCTGCTCGGAGCCAGCTGATGTGCTCCGGAGTGAGGGCTCAGAGCAGAGTTGCTGCGCCTTGTTATGCAACTCGCCTTTGCAAACCAAACTGTCCTCGTCGTGAGAAGCGTCTGCCCTGCGTACCGCAATCGTAGCGGATCCCATACTGGTGTGGTAATTTTAGCTGATAGCTCTAGCAGGCTCATTAACTTCCTAAGTTGATATTCAGGTAGAGGCACCGTTACCAATGGTAACACGAGGGTAATTTTCATTCTGTAATTCTGTATCAGAAAATCATTCCACAAGTGCTGTGCTTCAATATTTGAGAGGTTCGCCAGGCGGTTTTCCTCCATTTTCATCTCGGGAGGGTGAAGGATGGACCATTCCCCCGGTCTATGTGCAGAAGTGGGCTGTAGCCAGCGGCTGCTGTGGACGCTGGGGTTTGGAGCAGGCTCGCGCTCTGCCGGCAGATCTGCGGTGCTTGCAGCTACGCCGGGTCACGGCAGAGCCGGCAAAAGTTTGAGATGAAGGCTGTGTCGGGAAGGGAGCAGTTTGTGTGTAATACCGATTCAGCACCATCGACTCTGGTGTCGGGGCTCAACAGGCAGCCCTAATCTGCTTATGTAATGGTGCTTAAGTTAGCGCCCTGAAAAGCCATCTGTATTTTTGACATGCGGAGATTCACTTAAAATTAGTTTTCTAGCTTAGCAAAACGGTTCTGAGGTCATGGATCCACTTATATTCTGACAGGGGTGGGTGATTTCTATTATTAAGCTGCTTCGGTTTGAAATCACAGTGTCTTGTACAAGTTATAGGAGAACTAATGCAGTGAAAGGAATGGATTAGAATAAATTGTGTTCGCAGTTATATTTAAATTCAGGAAAAAATATAAGTCCCTGATAGGCACGATGGTTTGCTAATTGAGGAGAGGAAGAAGGTGGGTTTGGCACCGATTAACAGACACAGACTCCTGATTTTCATATTACTCCAATTTTTGCCCTCAAGGATTGCTCGTTGTTTCCCTATCACTACAGCCAGGGTTAGGTACCGAGACGAGAGGTACCTTAGGCATTTTGGAGAGTGGAAGTCGATAATAGGTGTCACAAAACCTCTCTCCAATGCAGGGAAAGCCCAATCCAATTAAAGTTCCTGGAAAGGCTCTCACCCAGTTCAACAGGCTTCGCGTTTGGCTCGTATCAGTACTGTGGATTTTTGACACTGATACAGTTTGAGAGCTGGATTTCTCAAAGGGTCCTTCTCTCGGTAAAAGCTAAAGCAGCAACCACAGTGCCAAATCACTCTCTTATCTCGGTCCAAGCCGATCTGTTACGCTCTGTGCTGTTCGCTGTGATGGAGCCGCTGAGGCTTGTGCGTGGGCCCTGGCTGCAGCCGACCGACCTGAGAGCAGCACCAAGGGCTACAGGACTCAGCCAAAGGAACCCCTTTCCAAATTTCCTGAAATCATTTCATTTGAAACTTGGAGGACCAATAAAATTGACATCTGGCTTTCAAGTGGAACATTACAACTTCTCTGCAGCTGCTTAGCCATAATTATTTAATTAGAAGCTGCCAACTGTGTCTATATAAGCATTAATTCATCAAGCTGTTGTGATCAGGTTAATGGGCCTAATACGACTGGTGAGGCAGATGCAAAGGTGGTCTTCTCCTGTGAAATGCACGGTTGGGGACTCTTCAGAGCTGGGGAACATTGGTTATTTCCAAAGGAGGAAGAATTGAGGGAGGAGCCTTTTTTTGGCACACCAAATCCATTGTGTGCTCCAAATACTGCTCAGAAGGTAAAGGCCTGTGGTTGGCAGGAAGATAAAGAACGTCCTTCATGTGCAAATCCTTCTGAAAGTAGATCGGGTGGACCGAAGGGGTGTCAACCGTGCAGCCCCTCACACGGGCACGGCGTGTGCTGTTAACAACATTGCACCATGAATATTGCATGGCGTTTTCTCCCCGTGCTCAGATTGAGGTGCTATTAAGGCTAATGGGAGATTCGTGTTGTCTGTAGCGGAGGTTTTCCCGAAGTGCAGGGCGCAGCGAGCGGCCGGCGCAGCAGAGCTGCAGCTGTGGTGCTGAGTGGGAGGCAGGCTGGGCTGCAGCGCCAGCGCTGGGATGACAGTGCAGTGCTCGGAGAGCAGCCGGGCTCCTCTCCAGCCCCAAACGGGCCAGTGCAAGGGAGGGCTCGGAGAGGCCGTGTCCATACCTCAGCCGGGACCAAACAGCTCCCTGGAACACAGATCCTGCGTGGGGACAGGCAGGAGACACAGCCGGGCTCCTGCTCCAGGTGGAGCGTGAGTTGAGGAAAGGGGGCGAGCTTCTGCTCGTGCGTTTTCTTTCCCTCCCGTTTCTCCTGTGTCAAAGACATTTACTTACATTGTAGATGGCTCAGGTTGGATTTCTGACCTGAACCATTTTGTGGTTTCCCCCACCACCCCCTCCTGTTGTTTTGATGATCTTGACATAAAACCTCATCTCCAAACACTCTCATTTTTGAAGAGGGTGACAGCCCGTGCTTGTATCTTCATTTTTAAGTGTTTTCAACCTTCACGATGAGATGAATCAAAAATGTGCACTTGAACATCTGGTAAATGTTGTGGCGGGGGCGAGGGTTGTTACAGCATATGGGCTGGCTCAGCCTTTTGTAGCCTGGCCCCAATCCTGACGCAGCAGCAGCAGCAGCAGCAGCAGCACGCTCTTGTTCACCACCTCCCATAGCCTCCACACCAGCTCTTGCTGTGCCCAAACTCGTGGCATTGCCAGCGCCGTGGGTGACAGCCCTGCACGTGCATGTTGGGATTGCCGGGAGACTGAAATACCAGCTTGGGAATGGAGAAGGCTTTGGCTTCAGACAGCAGGGCAGCAACGCGGCAGGATGTGTGCATGTGTCTGCAGAGCAGCTAGGGATCGAGTGGGATGGGATGGGATGGGATGGGTGAAATGGATGGGATGGGATGGGATGGGGTGGGATGGGATGGGTGAAATGGATGGGATGGGATGGGATGGGATGGGATGGGATGGGATTGGGTGAAATGGATGGGATGGGATGGGATGGGATGGGATGGGATGGGATGGGGAAGAACTGCATGGCAGCTCCTGTCTGCATATTGCTATTGCCCCTGACCCCTGATGGCACCGTCTCTTCTCTCTCTTGTCAGTGGCTCAGACTGCAATGAGCTCCCATTCACAGCACAGAGGGGAAGTTCTGACTCTTGTATCACATCAAACCCTTGGCTTTGACTCCCACAGCTCCCTGCGCAGCTGTGGGTAGCACCAACAAGGAGCAAAGTTGGCACCACAAAGAGCGGGTTGCCCTCTGCTCAGCTGGAGCAATAAACTGGGGGAGAGGAGAGCTACCAGGCAATGAGGGACAAATTTAGAAAAGTACAGATGGAGGAAAGGGAGAGAAAATTCACACACAATCTGGAGAGAAAGCAGTAGGGTACTGACAACCCCAGACACAGCGAGGGAGAATTTGTTAGGTACGTCAAGCCTTCAGTTTAACCCAAATGTTTTCCTGCAACAAGCAGGTGGAGAGGGGCTGACAAGTGCTCCTTCAAGTTCAGTAGCAGAAGGGAATATGGGGTTTAGACAGCCAGGAAGGAAGTCCCTGCCCTTCCTAAGGCCACATTTCAAAGTCTGAGCAAGCATGAGAAAATCAGGGCAATCAATCTGATTTGCTTAAGCCTTGCCTTGAGCCGATCATTTCACATCTGCACACGTGGAGCAGCTCAAGCGCCCACAGATGTTCGAAGGGAACCGTGAGACGTTCCTGGCACTGTAGCTTTGAAAGCCAAAAATTAATTAACGAGGCTCCTGCCCCTGAAGGACATGAGCTGCCTCTGCTCGCTCTAGGGACGGTTGTAAATGTTGGCCTTCTCACCTTCCTCTTTCAAGAAGCTCCTGGGTGGGCTTTTCACGTGCTGGTAGGAGGCTGATGGGCAGAGGCATTTGTGCAGTGGGGTTCAAGTTGTCCTGGGATAAACAGATGAAGGGGGATGTGCTGGAGGGAAGAGAAACGCCAAGTGATGCCCTTGGCGGACGCGCTCCGATGGCCGTTCATTGGCTGTGTATCTCTGGGATAACCCCGGTGTTCTTCACAGATGATCCACTGGGGATTAATGCAGCCAGCTGCGGCCTGTCATTCTGTATGCATGAACAGCGCTCAAAGACCCCACTCTGCTGTACGTATCACTGACTCATAAACGAGTCGTGTGGTAGAAATTTGACTAACAAGACTGAAAGCTCTTGCACAGTGACACCTACAGCTGTGCTGTCAAACAGGGTAGATGTGGGAGAGGAACATCACCCGCTCTCCTCTCTCTTTAAACTGACACTGCTCTGTGTTCCGGTGGTTGGTTCTGTCTGGTGTTAAAGCAGGGAAGATCAAAACCACCCAGAAGATAACAAAATAAAGTCCAATCCGATGAATAATGTGAGCTTCCTTTCCTGTTGACTGGAGAGGTTTCTGTTTCCAGGTAATTGTTGCCATCATCAGGGAATCTGGTCCATCTCACCAAACAAAACT